CTCAGTGGGGCCCACCCAGGACAGGCAGAGGTCCCGGCCGGGCTGGAATTCTGGCGGCCGGAAAGCCCCGAGGTGCCCCAATCCCGGAGCAGGAGCAGCGCCGCCGCCTCTCGCCGCGCCGCCGCCAACCGGCTCCAGGTGCTTTCCCACTTTTTTAAAAAAACTTTTGGGTTCGTACCTCAATTCTCCGTCCGCAAGTCAAAATGGATTTTTGCGGACGGAGAAGTACGTAACTCAAAAAGTTCGTACCTCGGGCCGTTCGTAACTCAAGACCCCACTGTATGAGATGCATGCTAGATCACTCTATCATCTTATCTCTGCCTCCTTATTATTGGATAATAATACAAGCTGTTATGTTGTTTTTAAATGTTGCTGCCCAGAGTAGTACCTCAGCACTAGGTGGGCAGGGTACAAATGTAATGAATTAAATAAATAAATAAATAAATAAAAAGTATTATTTTCACACTTTACACCCCATAAAAGGATTGTCAGAGGCAGCACCAGACGAAGGAAAGAAGGAGGGTGGCTGCGGGCTTGAAGGTGACTCGCATCTTGTTCAGTATGAATGTCGAAGTCCTGGATCGATCTGCAGTCCTTGTCTGAGCACTGACTACAATTTCAAGTGTAATCCAGGCTGCGAATCAAATCACAGCAAAGCTGAATCATTCCTGAAGGTATGCTGGTGGTTTACAACAATTCAAGCATTTAAATACAACCATTCATTTGGTCATTTGAGCATTTACAGGCCTTTCTTGACACATCTTCTGTCTGAGACATGCGCCTCACTATGTCTCATAGTGGGATCAGCCCTACTGCTGGTAGGACATACTAAGGACAAGTTGAATCTTGCTTCCATTCCAGTTGAAAAGGGGAGATGGTTCCAGAGATCCCTGTGATGACATACTTGATGGGGTGTCTTAAGAGAATCTCCCCTGCATCCTTTTTGTGGAGGAGAAGGATTATGGAGCCAAGCACCATCACCAACCACCTTGGGTAGCCTGCAATTCTTTCCAGGGGCTCTTCTTGCTAGGGAAATGCAAGATTGCCTCTGTGTCACTGCAAGTGCTATTGAAGCAGTGTCCTCCCTTTGGGGAATAGTGTTCCACTGTCAGGCTTGCTTTCAGTCCTCTGGGAAAAGGAGATAGTGGTGAAAGCCATTGTCTGCTACCACAGAAACAGCAGGATGAAGACAAAGGAAAGTCTTTTTCTTAGGTGTCTTTCTTATGGTGCTCCGAACGTTTTCTTTTGTAATACGTAAGTGAGAAATGTTATCAAGAATGCAATGTTTCTTATCAGAGTTCCTTTCATTTTATAGGACACACCAAGATGGCAGAGAACTTTGCTGGTCCACGTGTCTGCATGGCAAAAATTAATGAATATTGTCAGAAAAGACGTTTAAAATTGGAGTACAGAGAAATTGATATATCAGGCCCTGCTCATGATCGAGTGTAAGTTGCTAAAGAATGCCAAGAGTAAGATGTGAGGAGATTTCCTCTCCTGCAAAAATGATGCGGTGTCTAAAGAGCAAACAGGGCAGGATGTTGTATTTATTTATTTATTTATTTATTTATTTAGTTAGTTAGTTAGTTAGTTAGTTAGTTAGCTAGCTAGTTAGTTAGTTAGTTAGTTATTTGATTTATTTATTTGATTTATATGCCACCCACTCTACCCAAAGGTCTCTGGGCGGCTTACAACAATTAAAATTCAATACAATAAAATATAAAATGATTAAACTACAATTAAAATATGATTAAAATACGATTAAAATTGCCATCATCAAGACCCACAGTTGATGTTATTTCAATTAAAAGCCTTCTGGAACAGGAAAGTTTTGACCTGGCGCCGAAATATCATCAGCGTCGGCGCCAGATGAATTTCAGTCGGGAGGGCATTCCATAGTCTGGGGGCAGCTGCCAAGAAGGCCCTTTGTCTACAAGCCATCCCAGTTACCAGTGACTTAGTCTTGACAGGAAAGTTGCAGGCCTTTCCCCAGATCTGTCCACTCTCCCTTTTCACGTGCTCTGTTTATGAAACTTCTTTTCCTGGCTGTCATAGCCTCTCGCTCCATCTGGATTTGCTCAAGCTAGGAATCAAGCATCCAGTAGGGCCCAGCCTTTGTTTCCAAGCTTGCTTCTGCCTATTCTGCACACAAATCTTAACTCTCAGATTGGAGAGGGGAGCAATACTGTGTTTTCAGTATTGTATTATCTGTTTTTTTTTCTGCTCCTGAAGTCAGTTCCTGGGTCAGAGAAAGCCAAGAATACAAGGGCATCACTTCTCTCTCCTTTGTTTTTTTTAAAAAATCTCATAGCATTTGAAATGTGATTTTGGAGGAGACCTTTGTGATTACCATGAGCCATCAAAAAGATTCAGTGGTCGATCAAATCAAGCCTCAAGACACGCAAAAATGACTAAATGGAGGCTATGTACTTTGGATATATCATAAGAAAAGAAGACTCACTGGCAATAATGCTTAGGAAAAGTGAGATGCAAGAAGAAGAGAGGAAGACCAAACATGGATTGACTTCGCAAAGAAAGCCGCTGCCTTTAGTTTGCGAGACCTGTGCAGGAATTTTGAAGGCTGTTAATTCATAGGGTTGCTGTAATGCAGAAGTGACTTGATGGGACATAACAATGATAAACCATTAATTTCTGGTGTCATCCACTCAGTCTGCATTGCCCATTTGATTGTTCTCCAAATGAACATTTGACTTGAATTGGCAGAACAGAAACCTTTATAGGGCTGGTCTGTTAGGATGATTATCCCGTTTATGTAATGAACCGTGGTCTTAATCAAATTGTATTGTGCTGAATGTTTGCTAGCTATTCCTTATACATTGTCAATAGGGGTCTTGTGATTGCACATGTATAAAACAAACTGCTTTCATCCAAGTAACTTAGGTATACAGCTCCCTTCAGTTCACACCACCCCTCTAATACAAATTGGGCAGAACCAATGTCCAGCGCTTGATGTTTTATAGCTGTGGTCTAGCTAGTTTTTGTGTCATCGTTTTATGAACTGTTGGACAGCTGTATTGTTTTTAAGCATGTTCAGACTTTAAGCGTGTTTTGCAGTTGGTGCTTATTATCCTAAGTGTTTTGTGATTTCCCCCCCCCACTGTAGATTCACTGTTGCAGTTGTAATTGATGGGAGGCAATATAGCACAGGAACCGGTAAATCCAAGAAAGAGGCAAAAGATCGAGCAGCAGGACCAGCTTGGGAAATCATAGAGCAAGAAATGCAGGTAAAGTGTAACATAGAAAACACTTGCATTTGCATGCAGATTGTCCTTTTATTGAACAATAAAGATGTGTTTTTAAGAGTCAGTTAAAGACCTATCTCTTTAGGCAGGCCTTCCCTCCAGCCAACACTTGATTTTTTTTCTCTTTAGTTTTCCTTTCTCCTCATCTTGAACTTTTAAATTTGTTGATTTAATTATGAGATTGATTAGATGACTATTTTTAATGATGTTTATAACTGCTTGTAAGCCGCCCCGAGTAGATTCCGTCTAGAGGGGCGGGATAGAAATCGAATAATAAATATATAAAATAAATGAACAATCTTTCTTTGCTTTCAAATAAGCTAACTTATACATCCTGTTTGCAGCAAGAGCTGGCTCCAAGACCACAGCAGCCGCCACTGCCTGCTTTGCCACCACAACCGCAGCCATCACAGTTGTCCAGTGGTGCTGGAAACATGTCAGAAACATTGCCTCCATCTTCAATGAACTGCATTTCCATGCTCAATGAATATGCATCAAAGCACAACGTGATTGTTGAATATAAATTGGAGCATAAATCTGGACCACCCCACATGCCAATGTAAGCTGTTGATAATATTTTATTTTTATGTTACTGTTTGGGTTTTTTTTTTTTTAAAGTGGGGGAAAGAAACCCAAATCCTGATGCTTTCAGTGGCGTTTAGATGTTTGGATGAGATAGAATCCTGTAGTTTGGAATACCATGGACAAGCGGCCTGGGGCAACTGGTGGAAGAAGTAGCTGTTTCAGGAAACTGCAATCCAGTGAGGATGCCATCTCATCCAACCACTGGACATGGTTATTGGTTTGACTGTAATTGAATGTTTCATCTAGTGGAACATTGAACATATCTCCTGTTTTGCTGACATTGCCACTGGAGCTTGTTCCATGTATTTCTGATCCAGGCTGACAAACAGGGCCATGTTCCTCACCCAGAGCAGTGGGCAGGTCTACAGAGGGGGCAGACTAAAAAAAGATGCTTTAATATCTGTGTGTTAGCTGAAACAGCACACTTCATATTGCCTAGCCAACAATCCTGTATTAAAGAACAATGGGCATACCATGTCATTCAGGGGTGTTTTTTTTAGGTTATTTGCTTCATCCTTGTTGCCTGATACAGACTTCTATTGGCACTCAGAAGCTTGCCTTGTGTATAACTTTATAGTGATTCAGTAAAGATATTATCCAATGAACTTTGTTGCTACAGTTAGATCAAATAACATAGATTGCGGTCACACCAGGGAAATGTTACCCACTTCTAATGATACTTTCCATGCCTTTGTTGTAATGCATCACAGTCACTTATATATACACTGTATCTGGATGAATGTCCTAATGTGTTTTAACGTTACCCATTCATTTTCTTCCATTTAAATTGTTATGGTTGGCTACACCATGTTACGAATTTACTTTCTCTCTTTATTTTATGGGGCACTGAACTTTATTTTTAAAAACAAATTTGTAAACAATACATCAATATGAAATGGTTGTGTTTCCTGATTGGTAAAATTTCCTCTCTTGAGCTGGCGCCTCTGGAAGCAATTCACTGCACTCAGTGGACCCAGCACACGATCCACAGCAGTGTCGCTTGCCAGACAGTAGGTGAAGTGATGCAACACCGACCAATGCTTGGACATAAGTTTACAAACATATCGACACTCTGACTGTGGGGAAAAATTATTAAAAAATTAAAAGGCTGATCACACCTTGAATGTGTTATCTATGGATTTTCTCCACATAGCTGGAAATGCTAGAAAATCAGGATTCCTACTCAAATGGAAAGGTTCTTTGGGTAATGCAAGTTCTCTTGTTCAGAAAAGCAAGTAGTCATTAAAATGGGAGCAGGATGAATTGATTCTCCCTCTTTGTGTGTTTACTTTGCTTGTATGAGGTTCTTGCCTAGAGCAGTTTATACTAACCCTTTTTCTTCCCCTCTGTTGTTCTAGCCTATCCTATGCTTGTGAAATTAATGGCGACGTTTTTGGTCGGGGTACAGGAAATAATAAGCAGACTGCAAAACTTAATGCAGCCAAACTGGCATATGAAAAGTTGATTGGCCAGTCGGATTCTAGGGTATGTATTGCGTTTAAGAGAAAGATAAAAAAACTAAATCCTTGTTCCTGGTTGTCTCTAAATGGTATTTATTCCACATTGTTCATGTCACAACCTAGGGTAAAAAAAAGAAAAAGAAAAAAAAAGATCAGAACTGCTTTACAAAATTTCTTCTCTGAATTTATGGAATCAGATAACATTTTGCACTGTGTTAATTGTTTCCTAAATTTCTAAAAATAGCCTTGTCAAAGTGTTTATTTAGGTTTAAGTAAAGTAAAATTATAAATTAACTACAATTATCAATAATGCTTTAATTTTGAGGCATGATGAAGATTAAGACGTGAAACCCACATTGTGCATATGAGAGAAATTGGCCTTTCATGTGTAGACCAGTTAGATAAACTCCTTTTGCAGGATCATGTAACAGCTGACTGAATTTTTTTTATTTAGACATGTCTGTCACAATGAGGCAGTCTTACCTTTTATGCCATAATTTGTTGAGACTGCTCTTGTTTTCCCTCACATTGAATTGGATGGCATGGGGGCAGAGGAGGCATGCCAGTTTACACTCGTGTGCCATCCTGCTTTCTGGAGGGCCTCAGACATCTCTGTCTTACTACACATATCTTAACTATTGTGATATGGTGTATGAGGGGCTATCCTTCAGCTAATTCAAAATGCTACGGTCAGTTTGCTACCTGGCATGAATTCCACAAAACATCCTTTGCTGGAATTGATGCATTTTCAGTGGCTTTCCTGTTCATTTCCAAGCTGCTATATGATAATCATAAAAACATTAAATGGCTTGGGACCAGGGAACCTCAAGGGCATATGAATCTGTTTGTAATGTGTGCTTCACATGACATTCTTCTTTAGAACCACCACCTTACTGACATACATGGGTAGCCATATATTTCTTAAAAGATGTTAGTGTGTTAGAGAGATTATTCAGTAAAGTAAAATTTTCAGGATACTGTTCAGAGTGCTTAACAATGCAGTCCTCTGCAAGTCTCAATTGTACAGGTGGAAGTTATTCCCAGGCAAGCTTGCATAAGATTATCACTTAGTATGGGGTTATATATAGTGGTGTGTAGTGGTCACTACAAACTCAGCACATTTTCTCTAGGGAGTTTGTATTCCTGTTGACTGTTCGCTGATTGCACTTCCATTGCTTCTTGACAATAATTCACATGATGTTAAGCTAAAATCTGTGGAAACTTTCTCCCGCTGAGATCTGTCATTCTGTATTTTTTTCCAGATGGAAAGAAATGGTGCCCATACAAATGCTTCTACAAACAGTTCAGTCTGTGATTCCCAAGGGGTTTCGGAGGAGATAAATGTGAAGTAAGTTACATGTGTAATGATATATGTTTCTAAATACTCTGTATATTACAAGTTCTATGCAGAAGATGCTGTCAGTCTGAAGCAACAGCTGTTGGGCTCCCTAGAAATATCAGGTGTCATAATGTGCACATCCAGCCATTGCAGGTTGTCTCTGCCCATTCCATGCCTTTGCGAGAAGGCTGTTGTACAGTAGGGGAGGTGAAGCAGCTCTGTAACTATCTTTCAGGCTTATTTTTACTGGACTTCAATCTATACTGATTGCAAACCTAGGCAGTGGATGGGGAAGTTGGCTATCTAATGATTGCAAGCTGCAAACAGAGACATGCCTAAGCTGATCAGTAGCTGGTATCTTGTTTTGTACTGGCCCAGTAAGAATCACAACACCACTACCAGCAGACTGCTGATAATTAAAGCATTTCTGCTTTGATCTCAAGTTGTTCGCCACTCACGCACAATGAGATTAAGTTACACACAACCTAAAAATTGAAGTGGCAACTCTTGATTAGCTGCAATTTGCTGCCATTGATATCTCTTTCACTGTACAGGTGGAGTATGGAAGAAGATTCTGACTGATAAATTTTATAAATGAAATAACTTGTCGTTGACTTATCATGATGGTTAACTTATCATGGGTGCCAAGCTAGGCTTCATGGTCTTGAGGCTAGGGATCTGGCAGACTGAAAGATGGGTATCTTTTTATATTACTTTGAATGAAACCTTCCAGTAGAACATCCCATATTGAGCAAAAATACACGTAACATAATCTTATAAATGGCAAGAAATATGCAGATAGTGGAAATATACTGTGAGGGCCTTTACAAGTGTTGAAATTCCTCCTAATGGAGGTTAGATTGATCATCCTTTTATATCTCTTGGATTGGTGTTCAATATATTAGTCTACATTTTTACCTTATTATAAGCCTCATCTTTATGATTTTTTTAAAAATGCACTGAGTAAGTTTTGTGGTGTTTTTTTTTAACGTCATGGGAATTCCAACGTATTGAGGATTAGTACTAATGATTAAGCGTTTAATATACATGTCCTGAACTCCCTGAGAATTCCAGTGCTCTGCTAGAACAAAGCCAATATATTGCCAACCAAAGTATGTCGTTACACTGCTTGGCATTGTAGTTTGTTGAAGAACAACTTAGGATATATATATTTTCCTCAGTATGTTATGTTAGCTGAGACAGTGACCTAGTGGTAAAAAGTGATGGATTTCATAGTTCCATTTTTGTCCCAAGCCCTCTTTTTCTGTAAAATATTGTACATGGCAGATGTTGAGACTCAGTAACAATGCTTATAGCTGTTCAGGTGGCAAAGTAGTAGACTGCTTACTTTGTGCAACAAATGGTGACTGTGAGATCAAAATGTCCTGTCTGTGGGGATGAATCTTGCCTGCATGTGGTTTTGTTTTGTTTTTATTGAATGTCATTCTAATTATAAAGTTATTTTAATCGTGAACCTGCTTGGGAGTAGTTTTTAAGTGCAAAAAGATCTTTCTCTTTCTCTCTTTGTCCCACTGCTGTCATGAATGAACCTTTCTTCAGAGAAGTCCTAAGAATGATTGTGTTCTTTCTTCTTTAGAATGATCTGCAGTTCTCAGATTAAGGGCAGCTGTAGGTTTGCCTCTGCGAGTTCTTGGCTAATGAAGCCGTCTACAAATCTTTGTCTTTTATTGTCTGCTAGAAAGATACACAACTGCTTAAAGTGTAGTGACTGCAAAGGCGAGTTGGTGGGAAAACAATCCAGTCTTGTAATCTCTGATTCTTTTTCCTGCCAAAAGGAAGGAGACTTTCTGTCATGAAAAGTATAAAGAAAGTCTGTATTTCTTAATTATACATGGATGATTGGATCTGAAAAAGTGATTTGATCTGTTAAAGTCAATAATTAAAATCCTCTTCTGAATGATCTGGTATATGCTACATCTTTCTTCAAGCAGTTTTTGCTGGTAGGAAGCAAGACCAGCTGTTTCTCTGTATTCCCTTAGTTTTAGGATGAAATGTAGTTCATATGGTACATGCAGCTACAGAGATTCAGTTCATAATATGCTACAGCTGAAAACCATTTAAAAACCAATTTAAACTGCAGTGTGAAACTTCTATTTCAGGTCTGTTGAAGAGGCAGTGGGTGCTCCTTCCAGTGTGTCAGATAGTATTGTTTTTCAGGACTCAAAGTAAGAGACAAATTCAGTTGTAATGCTAGATATGGATAAGTCAAAAATGTTTAATATGTATTGTGTCTGTGGAAAAATTAGAAAGAGCTTACTAAGAAAAGCAGTACAGTGGTGCCCCACAAGACGATGTTAATCCGTTCGATTGAAATCGCTGTCTTGTGAAAACATCATCTTGTGAAATGTGATTCCCCATTTGAATGCATTGAAATCCGTTTAATGCATTCCAATGGGGACAAATCGTCGTTTTGCAAAAGTCGCCCATAGGGAAGCCATTTTGCGAAGTGCCGATCAGCTGTTAAAATCGTCATCTTGCAAAGCATCATTCCTGAAAAAAAGTGTTGCAAAGCACGGTCCGAAACATCATATAGTGAAAACATCGTATAGCGAAAATCGCCCATAGGAAACACTGTTTTGCGAAGCGCTATAGCGATCACAAAAACTCATTGCCATGCAGATTCATCATTTTGTAAGGTAATTGTCTAGCAGGGCACCACTGTATTAATATCCCTTCAAGCTTTTAGTTAATTATAATCTCTAAAATAATGGCAGGTTTCTGGCAGTTATGCTGAACAATTAAAAAAGCAATTACAGGTAGAAGAGTTCCTTTAATCTTGTGTAGAAGTTGGAACGTTATAGTAGAAAGTTGATTCCTTTGCATTAGTCTATATTTCTTTAAAAAGTAACATCTTAGCAGTTGTTAGCTGACATTATATATAATGTGTTTTTCAGATTTTTATTTTGTTAGAGTATCCCTTAAACCGGTCCCAAATCCTTCCAAGTAACACTGCCATTAACTAATATTTAAGAACTCATAAATAAATATTACTCATTGCACAAAAAATGCAACAAGTTTATTACTCATTACTTTGACTGAACTATACCAGTAGCAGCCTTACCAGAAGAGTAATATGCAGTGTCATTACTTGAATTATTTCCAAACTCTGAGTAGGTTATCTCAAAATTTGGGATGCATAGCAGCCAATGTGAAAGCACACTAATTTTTTTACATGCTTTGATTGAACTTGATGCAAATAATGTGATTCTGGATGAAAGTTAGTATATTTTGCCGCAAGTGCAGTTTATCTGATTAGCATAATTCTACCAATTGAATTATTTTAAAATGTTATTATTGGGTCTTCAAAAACAAAGCAGTCATAAAATATCAACTGTACTTGTAGTTTGGTATGCTTTTCAGTGGCTTGAAATAGACTTCTGCTGAAATGTGATACATGGATATAAAGGATTTCTCAATTAATTGAATAGATACTGAGAATACTACTTAGTGTGTTAGCAGACAACATGAAAAGCACATTACAAAAAAACTACAGTCAAGATTACCTGCAGCATTAGCACAGTTTAGGGTTCTATGCAGATTATTTATTATTTTATCTTGGCAATTGTTAAACTACATTGGACAAAATCCTGCTGTAGATCTGTGTGTGCACAAGAGGAATTGTGCATAATGCTGAAGTTAATCTGTGAGATTACTGATGTGTGCCAAGTGCATATTAGACATGGAAATTTATGCTATTTCTCTTGTGGCCATGTAAAATCCCCACAGGTTTTTGACCATTGTGATATTATTTTTGCACTTTTCTTATCTTGTTGTATCGATGAGTAGTAGACATGGGCACTTCATATTTTTGTCCCCTGGGGTGCTGCGGTGGACCAGTCCCACCCCTCAGAACTGGCTGGGCTTTGTATGTGTCACGTTCCTGCATGGCCCTTGGTTGTTTCACGTGTCATTCAGCTGCCACCAGTTGATTACATCAACTTTGTTCACTATTAATGAAAGAGGTCTGGGCAAGGTATCATTTAAAAACCAAGTAGAAATTGTTTATTGTTACAAGTGATAAAAGTCCAGTCAGTGTCGTTGACTCTCAACTAAAATCTTCTTTTTCTTCTAATCTCCCACCCCCTTTTATCTCTCTCCTTTTCTTTTCCCCCCACTTAACTCCGTCTGCAAATCTCAACATAAATATTCATGAGCAGGGTGAATGCTACAATATGGTGTTTGAGTCCGTCATTGTTGTGCCAATTGCTGAAGTAACCCAGCCAACCGGCCCTTCTCCATTTCCCTGCATAGCCAACCGCTGCAGTGTGGAGACGGGATGGGGAATCTTCCCGCCTAGTTGATGAGTGTTTGTCTGTGTGAAGAGGCAGGGAAGGGCTGGCCAGGCTGTTTGTATGATTGGCATGATGATGGCAATGGAACTGAGAATTGCATGGAGCCCAGTAAGTGGACCAGCCAGTCCTGGAGGGCAGGATTGGGCCACCACAGCATCCCAGGAAATGAATACAAAATGTGCATGTCTAGTGAGTAGGCTTCAGTAAGCATATTGTGCCCACTAGGATCACAAATCTGTGAAGGGCGTGTGATAACTATACACATTTGTAGCATCACTTTTGTGTTTTATGAAAACATATAAATCCTCAAATTGAAGACATTTTAAAAAAATCACTGCTGAAATTAATTCATACTTTTTGTGTAGTGCTACAGCAAACAGACTGGCTGATCAAGTGAATGGTCTACACCTGAATGAATCTTCTTCTTCTCTGGTATGGTATGAAAATCATTTTGCTCTGTCATTCTTCATTACCTATTAGTTTTGGGGTCTGCATTCTAAAATGTTGACTGTGCTATATTTTTAAATGGACCAGATATGAATGAAGAGTATACTAATCAATAGGATACGTCAGAGCTTTTTTCCCTGTCTTTTAAATAGTATGGTTGACCTTCAACCCGAGAGATCCTAGGATAGTTCACAGTAAAAATTGGAAAGCTGAGGGAAATAGGTAGAAAGGAGGTATTTGGGGCACTGTCTGGAAGTGGGATGGGATAGTTTAGTGGCTTCTTTCCAAAGACCATGAAAGTGTAAAGCAGTGGTTCTTAACCTTTGTTACTCAGGTGTTTTTGAACTGCAACTCCCAGAAACCTCAGCCAGCAGAGCTGATGGTGAAGGCTTCTGGGAGTTGCAGTCCAAAAACATCTGAGTAACAAAGGTTAAGAACCAGTGGTGTAAAGCAGCACTGGCATGAGATTGCTGGATCTCTTGACTTCAAGATCTGGTATGTCTGTAGGAAAAGAGGGATTGAAAACAAGTGGAAACCCTGTAGTCAGCAGCTCTAATGATCTAAGAAACAGGAAGTCAATTCTGATTTATAGCATTCTTCATTAGAAGAAACCTGTGGTTAGGAAAAAATTACAAACTTTAGAGCTGGTTACGATTAAAGGTAATTGCTGAAATCCTGTTGTATGGTCTAATAGGTCCTACTACAGTAGGCCTGTTGAGTTGGTGAGTCAGCTCCTCCATAACTTCCATTTGTTCAAATTGGCCTATTCTAGTTGCAACTTAATATGCTAAAGCAAGGCACAACTGAAATAGGCCAATTTGATTCAGTGGAACTTATGGAAGGGTACACTCATCAAATCGTCCCTGATTCAATGAGCCTACAGTGGACCCTCAACTTACGGAATTAATCCGTATTGGAACGGTGGCGGCAGGTCGAAAAGTCCGTAGGCCGAGGGGCCATTTCCCATAGGAATGCATTGAAAACCATTTAATCCGTTCCAGCCAAAGGAAAAAAAATCCTGGATTTCCAAAGCTGCACCCACTGCCCTCTGCCTCCTGTCCCTGCGGGGACAAGAGGCAGAGGGCACTGAGGACTGGAGACAGAGGGCAGTGGATGCAGCTTTGGAAGCCCGGGAAGCCAAAAGCCTCCCCGACCTCCGTGCCCATTGCCGGCTTTCTGTTTGCCGGGCTTCCAAACCCCCTCTGCTGCCCTCTGCCTCCCATCCCCATGGGGACAGGAGACAGAGCGTACCGGGGACAGGAGGCAGAGGGCAACAGGGGAGGCTTTAAATTTCCCGCCCTTTTCCCCTGCCTTTCATAAGTCGAAGCTCCATCCGCAAGTCGAACCAAAATTTTGCGGCCGGAGCTTTTGGTACCTCAAAATTTTCATAAGTAGGGCCTTCATAAGTCTAGGATCTACTGTATTCTAGTAAGACTTTTAATACTAAGCAACAGAATTTCAGCCAAAGACCATTCACTTTTCATGTTTGGAAATTAAAAAATAGGTTGAATTCAGTTGATATATGAAAACATTTATTGAAATTTATATGGAATTATTTTCTGTTTCATGTTTTGTATAAACTTGCTTATTTAATGTATATAAGCCGCCCAGAGTAGACGTAGTCTAGATGGGCGGGATACAAATCTAATAAATAAATAAATAAATTTTAACATACTGTTTTGGTGTTTGCAGTGTTATAAACTTTCTCTGGTGAAATATTTTCGTTAGTTGTCTCAACATTGAGGGTTTTTTAAACTCAAAAAGAAAAATTTATTCCAAAATGAATCCTCAAATGTGAATCTTCATTAAATTTTTTCTCACCCAGCAGTAGGCATCTAGTTCTTTTTTCTTTTGCTGCTGTTCTTTTTCTTTCACTGATGTTTGATAGTTGTGATACTTAGTGCCTTTTGCATTCAGATACTGAGTCAAGATGTTACTCTAAGCACTTGCTCATAAGGCACAAATGTTAGTGTCTGTAGAAGTCATATATTTTCTTAATTTTGCTCCAGGTGAGTCCTAAAGGTCCAGCTGTGAAACCTAAAAGGTATGCATTTGTGATTTAAAATTAATGCACATTATTGAACTGATTTACAGTGGTGCCCCGCATAGCGAGCGCCTCGGTTAACGACAAATCTGCATAGCGATTTGGTTTTTGCGATTGCAAAAGCAATCGCATTGCGATGTTTTTAATGGCAAAACATCGCATTGCGATAATCGGTAAGCGTTTCGCTTACCGATTTTCGCATTGCAATGTTTTTAAAATAGCTGATCGGAGGCTCCAAAATGGCCACCCGCAGTGTTTTGCGCTCTTTCCTCGCTTACCGGGCAGCGAAAATGGCGGCGGATGGAGGATTTCCGCATAGCAGTGATTTTTTTTCCCCATAGGAACGCATAAAACTGGGTTTAATGCGTTCCTATGGGGTTTTTCGTTCCGTTAGCGACGATTCTGGATAGCGACGATTTTCCTGGAACAGATTATCATTGCTATGCGGGGCACCATTGTATTAGTTGGGGAAGAGGATTAGCTCTAATACACACAAAAAACAGTGACCTATTATGTACTATTTAAGTATGGGAAAGGGTTCATTTCAATGTTGTTGTTTTTTTCATAAGAAAAGAGACACCGTTGGCCCCGAAATTTTCAAAGCCAGTTCAGAAGGCAAGTAAATACACTGTCAATGAGAGGTAAGTTTAGATTTCAAAATTACTGTGGAATGTTTTAGATAAAGTTTGTCCTTAATGTAGACATAAAGACCAAATTTTTCTTACAGAACGAGTCTGGTATAGCATAACTGGTGAATGGTTAAAATGTCACTGTAATTGTATGACTCAGTGTACAACTGGTTATGTCTGTGGTGATTTCTTAACTAGAGTCCATTTTCCTCCAAATGTTATGCCATTTGTGTAGCTACGCAAGAGGATTTTGCTCATCGTATTGACAAAGAACTGATTCCTTTGTGCACAAATAACGTACACAAATAAAGCACCAGATGAATACAGACTAGTGATCTCACCCTAGTTCAGAATTGATGTGATGGCACATAGTTATTATTCTTGTTAGCCTGTTTCGGTAATACAGTGGGGTCTCTACTTAAGAACGTCCCAGCTTAAGAACAATCCAACTTAAGAACAGCTCCATTTGCTAAATTTTGCTTCTACTTGAGAACAGAAATCCAAGATAAGAACAGGGAAAAAAACCCTTTCCTGCTCTTTTTTAAATCTTAGGTCATCTTACGTTAAAAAAAATTCTCCCCCTAGTGGTAGAGTACGTATTAACCAGCTTTGCATTAATTCCTATGGGAACTAATGCTTCAATGTACGAACGCCCCTCTACATAACAAAAAAACAGCCAGAACGGATTAATTGGTTTTCAGTCCATTCCTATGGGAAATTTTGCTTCAACTTAAGAACGTTTCAACTTAAGAACACCATTCCAAAACGGATTAAGTTCTTAAGTAGAGGTTCTACTGTAGTTTCTATGAACGGAAAAGAGCAGATACGGATTAAATGGTTTTCAATGCATTCCTATGGGAAATGCAGATTCAACATAAGAACTTTTCCACTTGAGAACCACCTTCCAATACGGATTAAGTTCTTAAGTAGAGACCCCACTGTAAGTGTATGGCTTATATACGGCCCCATAGTGCTTAAAGCTCTCTGAGCAGTTTACAGTTTAATTATGCAGGTGCTACACATATGGGCTATGTGTAGGGCAATGGGCTCTATGGGTAATGGCTCTGTGTCACGTTTTCATAATGAAACTCATAATTGTGAGACTATAGTGCACTGTAACACTTTCAGGGATTTTAAGACTCCTTTTCTATGTTTTAAAAAACCAGATTCCTTGAGGATTTTCATGATATAGAGAAACTTGGTTGTGGTGGATATGGCAATGTTTTCAAAGCAAGGCATATTATTGATGATAAAATATATGCCATCAAACGAGTCAGACTTACTGCGTAAGTTGTCCTATGTTTGCTTTTATTTAACTGAGAAATATATTAAGCCATTGAATGCCTTTTATTATAAGTGCTATTTTCTGTGCTAATGTTACCTGTTCCACATGAGACCATTTTTTACTTGACAGCAGGATTTCATTTTATACAAGCATTATTGTAAAATTATTTTAAACTAGTTGAAAGTACCAAGTTTTCTTCCAGCAGTTTATGAGATTTCTGCATACTGGAATTGTCTATTACTACATATGCTTTTCAAGAGCATTCAAAACTATTGTTAAACTGAAATATCTCATATAATGTTCTCCTATGGATTCCAAATCATGTTTCAAAATCTCACACTGATTTGTGGAGGACGGGAATGATCTAATAATAAATCTGATCCCTGTGTAATATACATATCAACTAATCCTTTAAACATATAATTCTGCAAATAACTGTTTCTGTAGGTTATTCTTTTGAATGTTTGTAAGACTCTTTCCCCTTTCTGCTTCAATCAGTGAGAAAACAGAAAAAATAAAAAAAGAAGTACAGGCTTTAGTACGACTACTTCATGAAAACATTGTTCAGTATTTTGATAGTTGGATTGGGCGAGACATGTTTTCATTCGACGACAGCATGAGCAATGACAGGTAATTTGGTCTGTATGGGCCATAAGCATAACTCATTCTTTATCACTATTGATGTGACACTGGTGTCGGTGCATGTTTTTGGCTGGTATACATGGTGGAGGCATGTGGAAGAGTGGTCGATGTCTTAATGCCCAGGAAAGAAAAGGTCATGTGATCAGGATTTCCAAAAAGAGATTGCTGTCCAGCACCATCTCCAGTTCATTGTCTCACCTTGGGAGGTTTTTTTCAGTTGTTTTCTGACAATTTAGAGCCAAAGTCATTTCACCTGACCAATTTGCAGCATTTTTTAAAATCCAAAGTGGAGGCCATCCGCCGTGACCTTTCTCCTTTTTTAAATACAATGGATCGAGCAGAGATGTCCAGCGCTCCG